TTACAATGTCTCATATTCATTCTAATGATTTATTTCTATTTATTGGATTTGCTACATACCATGCCATCATTTGATATATTGACAAAAAATATTTACATAGAGATACATGGATAGACAGATAGTACATAGCTGGATAAATAAATCCACATTTGCATTGTATAATTTTCCCTTGGTGTTATACAACTATAGTAGTTCAGAACTTTGTTGAAGTAATGTGTGTTGTATATACCACTGACTTTTTCTCATTGTAGTGAGAATACTCACAATATTATAATATAAATGTTTATGTTGTTTGAAAACTTCTCCATTTTGGAGCTTTTGTTACTGTTAGAAAGCTCTTTTCTCTCCTTAGTTTACTAATATCTTTTTAATTTTACTTATATCTTTTGTGCATAATAAAGTTATGCACAATTATTGAGTCTCATTACATGAAATGATCATAAAATTTTGCTCTTTTTACCATTAATAAGATGGATATCACTTATTTTTTGAATTTCAGCTATCATTTTAATTCCTAAAACATTTCAATTTGTCCATATATTCTATTAAAATATTACTGTAATGGCTAGGATATTGCTTAAGTGATAGAGTGCTTGTCTAGCAAGTACAAGTCCTTGAGTTCAAATTAAAATACTGCAAAAATAAATAGTACATTCAGTGAATTAATCATTTAAGGGTATTTTTTTGTAAGATTGGTTTAACTCTGTAAGCTATATGTATTCTATTTTCTATTAATTAGCTAATGGAACAAATTTATTTCACATACCATACCATATTAATCTACTTGTCATTTTCTTGTTCTAAGTATTTTGTGACTTTATCTTTGACAAAGGAGTTTTGAAAAGTATTTTTTTTATTTCATGTATAAGGCAATGTGTATTTTAGCTGTAGTGAAAATAAAACTTTGTAACAAAACATTATTTTGGTATAGAATAACAGCCATTTGTTTTGTTAATGAGCCTTATTTTGGCAGAGTCATTCTTATTGCCACTGGGCTCACAGATTCAACTGGATATGGTAAGTGACTGTGCTTTTCTTGCTGGAGCATTCTCCCATGTTTGAACATCAGTAGTCTAGATGACCTATAGGCTTGAACCTCAAGCTTGCTAGGCAAGCACTCTGCCATTTTAGCCATACCCCAGTCTTTTTGTTTTTTTGAGATACCATTTCACAAACTTTGCCTGTGCTGACCTCAAACTTGCAGTCTTCTTGGCTCTGCCTCCAGAGTAGCTGGGATTACAAGCATGCACCATCACACCTAGATCATGCTTTTTAAATCCAAATGCTCTACATGCCCATTTGATCTAGCTCTGAACCTTGTTGCTCAAATCATTCATATACACCTGTGCATTGTGTCTGTGATTTATGTTTCTGAAAAATGTATCATAAAATTTCTCCCAATTATGATGGAGGTTTAATTTTTACTTAAAATTCTTTCATTCTTTCTCATACAGGGTTTAATATATTAAGTGCATTCACAAGCAGCATTATTGTAGCTTCCTGGTAAATCAACTTTTTTCAAAACTTCATGATTTTTTACTTCTTATCAAGTGAAAATGAATTGTTTTTAGTATTAACATAGGCACACATCCATTATTTTGCAAGCATATGTGCAATACATTTTTCTACCAACTTTCTATTTTTATACTCCTTAATATTTATAGTCTTAGATATAGATACATTCTTTAGATTGACCAAAATATAATTAGATATTTTAACCTGCTCTTTTCACTTTCATAAAAGATAATTTTTATCTAGGCAAATTTATTTCATTTCTATAATCTTTTAATTAGTTTTCCCTTTCTTATTTTTATTTCTCTTGTTTTATAACTGAGCAAATTTAAATATTATTTTCATCTTTTTCCATCTGTTTACTTGGAAGTTAAACATTATAATAATGTTTTACCAGGCATGGTGATGTACTATAACCTTAGCTATTTAGGAGTTGGATATCTGGGGAATTGCATTCTGAGGTCAGCCTGAGCAAAAAGCATAAGACAGTATCTAACCAAAAGCAAAAAGGGCTGGGAGTGTGAGTCAAGGGGGAGAGTGCTTGCCAGGAAAGGATGAGACAGTGAATCCAAAATCCCAGTACGGCAAACAAAACAAAACAAAAAGTCATTATACTAACATTTTGCTGCATTTCTGGTGATGTGTATATAACTGAGTTTTTAAAATCTCAAGTGCATTCTCTTGCCTTAATCTGGGATTTTTATCCTTTTATGTTTATTGTATTTGCTGCTTTATTTTATTTTTTACAATGCTTTATACAGTTTTTATGTTTTGTTTTTTCCATTTTTTTATTATTGTTTCTTCTTTAGGTGTTTTGGAGCTAGTGAAAGCTTTATTTTTTGTGCTTTCCTTCTATTTTCACAGCTGTTAAACATTTAAATCTATTGTTTTAGGCTGCCTTGAGTACATATCTCATTCTAATTTTGTGTTCCTATGGGGTTAACTGGGCCAATTTGTTTACATTGTTTATGTTTACAATGTATGTCTAATTCTTTGATTATCTCATATAATTAAAGTGTTTTAATTACCATTTGTATGGTGTTGACCCCCCAAATTTGCATTACTTGGTGGGTTGTCTCCTACACCCTGCCCTATTGTAAGTTCACCTCTCTACTTTATATCACAATTTGGATATTTGGTTGTATTTCAAGAATTCTAACTTGACAACAAGCATTCTGAAACTTTTTTCTATTTTATTTAATGTGACTCAGTTCTGCCCGTGACTAAGGTAAAAGAATAGCTAGAGAAATTTTAGATCCAATTCATTTTCTCACCATACAAAAACAATTTAACAGGAAATTCTCTATCAGTCCTATCACAAAAATATTTGTAGAATTTCTCAACTTTGTATCATCCATTTTGTTTATGGGTTGAGCTACTGTGATTTTTTTCACATAATGTGAAGGAATTGACTCTGAAGCATAGGTGACTATAAAACATAAGCTACAAATATCACACTATAAATGCACAGAAATCTATTTCTGTCTGATGTAACAATCTACATGGAGTAAAAGTTCTGCTCACTACTCACCAAGATATCAGGAAAATAATTGTCTATTGCTTTTGTATTCCTTGTGATGTTGTTCTTGCCCATGGAATTGGACAAGCTTACACTACACAGCCAGAGGAAAATGAAGTGAAATGGAGAATAATCTTTTCCTTTTAAAAAAAAAAACCCAGAAAATTCATATATTAAATATTCCACCTGCTACTGGGAAAAACTTAATACCTAGATAGCTTAGAAAGGTCATCTGTATATATCAGCATAGCCAGCATAACTTACCTCTGAATTACTGGCAACTGTCATCTATTAAATTTTCTCTTACCTGCATCAGTTACAGTAAGGCATTTGGCCATAATTGCAAATTACCTCTGGGAGTTCTTTGAATTAAAAGCTGTATTATCAGATTCATCATGTAACTCTCAAATAATGGATTCATCCAATAATGATATTTAGTTTGCAGCTCAAGTTTGTATATTTGTACAGAATTATACACTATGTAAATAACTATGTGAGTAATATAATTACAAGAAATCAATTAAAGGTAATCATTAATTCAGTATTTTTGTTTCATGACTGTTTGATATAACAGTCAAAAGGTAATATGTAATTTTTTCCCAACTTTCATGTACACTTGTTCAAATTTATTTTCTTAACATTTCATTGGTCCTGTTTTTGTAACTATGAATTACTGCTTTAAACAATTTTAGTGAATACTTTAATGTTTCCCTTTCTTAAAATTTGGCATATAAAAATTTATGCACCTAAAATTCACCTTGGAAATTAGTAATCAAAGCAGAATGGAACACAGATGAAATAAGTCATCTAGAGAGCATAAAGACTTTGGTGTAAAAGTTGTGAGGTGGATTCTTATCTGGTCTCCAGTATCTCCTCCTAAGTATCCTTGGAAATAATTCATTATCAGATCAAGGCATTAGGCTATATAACCTGATACATATATTGGAATGCTACTAGTAATGTCTCTAAAAGTGATGACTCACCTTGGATATATGATCAATTCTGTTTATAATTCTTTACCAGGAAGGATTCGTATCTGAGTTTTTTATTTCCTCAGCTGCCAAACATGTTTCTATGTGTAGAAGTGGCTGACTTTATTATTTAAAAGTACTCATTTTTTCAACTAAACTCCTAAAATTAATACTTAGAATTTGTCCCTTTCAAAAAACATTATTTAAAAGTAATGTTAAGTCAGGTATGGTGATGCATACATGATGTCCCAGCTATACTAGAGGCAGAGGCAGGAAGATCAACAGTTTAAGACCAACCAATGCAAAGTTAGAAGATCTTATCTCAAAATCAAAATGCAAAAAATTAAAGGGTGGGGGCATGGCTAACTGTAGAGCACTTGCCTAGCATGCATAAAGCCATGGATTCAAGCTCCAATAACACAAATCAAGGGATTCTTATTGAGAACATAATGACAAATCAATTTAAAGGATGAGATTTGACTCAGGAAGAAAAGATGGACTGATTTGAGTGGGGGGATCCTTCAACAATATGTACCAACATATTATAACAAGACATTATATTATAACATTATAACAAGAAATTATAACAGGCTATAAAGCACAGACATATTCTTCATGGAAAGTGGAAAACACTGAGAGGTGACTTGAGGTTTGTGTGAAAGAATTAATCTATTTTCTTCCATTTAATTACAGAGAAAAGATGAATATTAAATGTATCAGTAGTTGTAGCTATACTTAAATTTTTGTTTCTTTATTGTTATGAAATGATACTTACATATTACTTTTTCTTTCACTTCTCTAAAATCACCTATCCTTTATTTCCCCAACATTGTCCCCTCCCTCCTTCCCTGCCTCCCTTCCAGCCTTTCGCCCTCCCTTGCTTCCAGGCTAACATGTTAAAAGTTTCTCCATAATGACTTATAAGGAAATTCCTGCTGTTCTTCTCAGCAAACATATGTGCTAATTTTTTCCACCTGAACTTTCTTCACTTCCTCCAGGAAGACCTACTACCTTATGTGAGACTATGGGAAAAGCTGAAATTTGGCTAATCCGGACATATTGGGATTTTGAATTCCCTCGTCCATACTTACCTAATTTTGAGTTTGTTGGAGGATTGCACTGCAAACCTGCCAAACCTCTGCCTAAGGTAGGTCTAAGATGGTGAAGATTTTATGTGTTTTATAATAAAATACCCAACTTTCCTTCAAAGTTACAGCTTCAATAACAGAGATGTGTTGCTGGATAGCTCAGTCTACCAATGCATATTTATTTTCTTCATCATAAAAAGGTATTTGGTGAGTCACATTGGATCTCTTGGATTTTATGTAATTTAGGTTGGAGAATATTATGATGCAATTAGTGTGTTAAAAATATCTATGTGTCTATAGACGAGATTGGACAGATGAAAAAACAGACCCATGGAAATAAAAAAGCACACTATTCTAGCTCTCCTCAAACCTGATAAAGTTATGAGAATGATCATTTGCCAGACTGATAGAGAAAGATGACTTCCTGAGAATTCAGTCAGTTGCAGGTTTTGATGAGAAAGAGGAAGTAAATTTTGAAGGAAGACATAAAATCAGGCAGTGTTCCCACATTTTAACCTTAGGTGTTTATTGAATAGTGCTGACCTTTATTTTCAAAGGAAACAGAAGAGAAAGAGGAGGAAGAGGAGAGGGAGAGGGAGAGGGAGAGGGAGAGGGAGGAGGAGGAAGAGGAGGTGGAGAAGAAGAAGAAGAGGAAGAAGAAGAAGAAGAAGAAAAGAAGAAGAAGAAGAAGAAGAAGAAGAAGAAGAAGAAGAAGAAGAAGAAGAAGAAGAAGAAATAGAAATGAGGTAATCAAGTCTGACAGAGACTTGAGTCAGCAATGAGACACGCAAGAGTGTGTCTGTGTGCGTGTTGTGTGTGTGATTGTAAGTGTGGTATGTGTGTGTTTTATTATACTCAATAAACATCTGTTTGGAAGATAACTTAACAGTTAAAAGAGTGAAACATTGCCTATAATCCCAGTAATACATCAGCCTCTCCCAACAATTACCTAGCCAGAAATTGAGACAAACCATGTTTCCAGGGTGACCACTGAGAATACAGGATGCATCTCTAGAAGGTGGCATTCATATAGATGATTATGTAAGAGGTCCAAATCCAAGATTTCAGTGTCCAGTTTGGAAAACTATGCAACGACTTAGGGAATTGTATTTGCAGATGAACTTATATTTTACTTCTACAAGGTTCAAATTAATGGAATACAACTTGTATCACAATCATGTGGGATTTTATGTATTAGGAAGCCAAGAAGAATTTTTTTATAAATGCCATTATAAATACAGAAGATTAACTGTGCTATTTTTTTCAAAAACATGGCATCTAATTCACTTTTCTAATATATTTTCTTAGACTTATTAATCAGGGAAGGAAGAACCTTGAGAAAAATAATGTTTAATGCTTGTCTAATTGGAAGGTAGATCAATTTGTTAGTAAGTTTTGAATATAACTGGCATTCTAATACTTTTTAAAGTCTTGCTCAGGACAATTTCTTGGTTTTCCTTCCATGGAATATTTTTACAAGTTTACAAATAACTATGTTGGTTGTGAAAGTTAAAATTTGAGATTAACAAGACCACATATCAGGGGAGGTGCTACTTCTTATTGCTCATTCACTTCCATAGTAATTTAATGTCATGTTTTTACTTGTATATATTTTAGCCATAATTCTCAGAAACATGTTTCCTAGTCAAAAGGCTAGACAGCTCTACGTGTCATCACAAAGAATGAACCTAAGAATTTCTCTGACACTTCTTTCCACTTTACTGTTTAGACCAGTAGGTGAACTTTTTTTTTCTCTCTGTATGATTCTACACCACTTTAATGGAAAGAATATTATGTCTGCAGGAAATGGAAGACTTTGTGCAGAGCTCAGGGGAAAATGGTGTTGTGGTGTTTTCTCTGGGGTCAATGGTCAAAAACCTCACAGAAGAAAAGGCAAACCTCATTGCCTCAGCCCTTGCCCAGATCCCACAGAAGGTCAGTAAACCTCTAATCCCAGACAGCAGAGCAGCTCTTTACTATTGGAGAGACAGTGTAGCTAATAGTGGTCTTTATAGATGGAAGTTGAGAGTCATTATATACTGAGCATACCTGACATTAGCTTCAAGAAAAAAATTTGTGTAGCATTTAAATAGTGTATTTAGGCACATTTGATCATTTGCCTACTGAACCTCTGCATTTCTACAAGAGCATGTATTTTGTACTCTGTTATGTTTCATGGAATAGAGTTGAAAATATTAAGCCATTTGAAATCTTTTTACCTGTCTGACTGCCACCAAAGTTCTAAAGGCTGTTAGTTCCATGGTCCCCAAAAAGGGAGAGATTATAAACAGCCAGAGAAATCTTGCTAAAAAATATATCCCAAATTTCAGAGTTTTATTAAAACTTTTCAATTCATAGCTGGTTTAGAGTAGAAGCCTAGAGTTATTTATTCTTTCTAGATTGAATATTTTATAGTTAAACCCATTAAAATTCTAGTATTACTGTCAAACAATGCGCATTTTCTAATTTCTGTATGATATTCAATTAACTTTAATTTTTCTTATTATAATTTTTACTTCTGTTTTCTATATACCCATATTTGTGAAATATCCTAGGACTCTTGATATTGATATATTGGTTAAAGTACATAAAACTGTATGAAATTAAGTATGCTAATTATTCTAATTAGGCATGTTAATACTTTGGGCTTTTATTTCTATATTTGTCTCTTAAAGTTTGCCACCTTTTAGTATTTAATGTGAAATTTTTCTTATTTCCCCCAAAGGAAAGAGTATGTGAAATAAGATTTTAGAATTCTAACAAAATACTTCATTGAAAAATGGAATAGTGGCAAACCCTATCTAGTCCTCCCTCAAAAAAAAAGAGAGAGAGAAAGAAGGGGAAAAGAGGAAAGAAAGAAAGGAGGGAAGGAAATAGGTAGGAGGGACAAGGGAGAAAGGAGGAAAAGTAAAGAATCACCCCCACCCCCAAAAAAGTAGGCAGAGTGCTGGTGGCTCATGCCTATGATCTTAGTCACTTGCGAACTGGGAATGGGAGGATAGGTCCAGACCAGCAAGGGCAAAAATTTGTGAGACCCTATCTCAATAGAAAAAACAACTGGGCATGTTTGTAGCACCTGTGCTATCAGCCCAGCTAAACCAGGAAGCCTAAAATAGGACAGAGGTCCCAGCTAGCCTGGACAAAATTTCAGACCCTTTCTCTAAAATAACCAGAACATAAAGGGCTGGATATGTGGCTTATGCAGTAGAGTGCCCAGCAAGTGTGAAGCGAGTTCAAGTCCTAACACTTCCAAGCTAAATAACATTGTCAACAACAAAAACAAACAAACTTAAATGTAATCAGTTTTAGAAAATATTATATTTGAAATATGATGTCTAGCATAACTAAATAAAATAAATTTATAAAGTATTCATGATTGCTTTAGTGATTTTAATCCCCATATTCTGTTTTATCAAAATATTCCTATTTATTTTGCATTCTTCACTTGCAGTCTCATTCCAACAGCTTTTAAGTGACAAATATCAAAATAATAATACTCTGCTTAGTGGGCTATTAGTACAAAGTTTTATGAACCAGTAAACTTGAACAGTCCCACCACATCCCTCAATGTTCGCCAACTGCCACATACATATCCTCAACAATCACCTAAAGTATGGAGGCTAAGTTTGTTGTAAATAATTCCACAACCAAAACACATCCTTACTGTGTGTTCTGATTTACAAAATTAGGGTATTGTTTTCTACAGGTTTTATGGAGATACAAAGGAAAGAAGCCAGACACGTTAGGATCTAACACTCGGCTCTTTGATTGGATACCCCAGAATGATCTTCTTGGTAAGACTGTGGAGGGAAGAACACTTTACTTTAATAGGTGGACAATCAGCATACTAAATAACTGTTTAACAACAAATAAACTGAAAATATTTAATAATTTAAATACTTCACATTTCAGTTTTAAAGCCAGTGTATTTAAATATTTAGTCAGTGATTTTACAGATCCACACTTCCTCTTGTTGATAAAAAAAAGTATCTTTCATTAAGACCCTCATCACACTTCTTACCTCTGTAATACCTTCTCTGATGATGGAGTTAAATTTCTTCTCTTCATGGGTAGCAATGTCTCATGTGCTCAACTTTTGCAGTAAATGTTACATTCTGCAATGGCTTATGTAGTAACTATTTGTCCCTTCTACCTCTGAAATTCTGCCAGTGTTTGAGCTTGAAATATATACCCACTTCTCACTCTATTCCCAAACTAGGACATCCCAAAACCAAAGCTTTCATCACTCATGGTGGAACTAATGGCATCTACGAAGCCATTTATCATGGAATTCCTATGGTGGGAGTCCCCATGTTTGCTGATCAACCCGATAACATTGCACACATGAAGGCTAAAGGAGCAGCGGTGGAGGTGAACATGAACACAATGACAAGTGCAGATTTGCTCAGTGCCTTGAGAGACGTCATCAATGATCCTTCGTAAGTGCTGATGCTTTTAAATTGGTTTATTTGCAAATAACATAACTAATATAAAAGCCATGACTTCATTTCTTAACTGTTGAAGTTATTTTCTGAAATTGGAAAAAAAACTAACTTAAAATATTCTGTCAATGTTTTTTCAAAATATGTTAGGATTATATAAATTCTTTTTATTTTTTGGTGGGACTTGGGTTTAAACTCAGGGTTTAGCATTTGCAAAGCAAGCATGCTACCGCTTGAGCCACACCTCAAGTACATATTGCTCTCATTGTTTTGGAGCTGGAGTCTCACAAACTATTTGCCTGGGGTTAGCCTCAAACTGTGATCCTCCAGATCTCAGCCTTCTCAGTAGCTAGAATTACAGGTGTGACAACCAGTGCCTGGTTGATTATATAAATTCTTATATACTTTTTCAGACTAATCATCTTCATTAAATAAAGAAATAATTATGTACTTAACTGTTATAATCTATTTAGTAAGTGCAAATGGAAGTGATAATTTGTCCAATATTAATCACTCAGAATAATTTTTAATATTCACTGTTATTAAATGTTATTACTAATAGTTATTTCTGAGTAATTTTCATCTTAAAATTTTATAATTTTATAGAAATCACAATTCTAGAGCTGGATAGTGGCTTAAGAGTTTCAGTAGTTTTTGGCTGGGGTTGGGGAGCAGCACTAGGATTTCACCTTAGGGTAATGTGTTTTGTTTTTCATAAATGTTGCACTAATAATAATAATAATAATAATTATATAATCTAATAATCAATTAGATTATTGCTAGGTTATTAGTTGCTGACAATTTGATTCATTTTATTAAATATGAATAGGTAAGTACTGTGATTCTTTTCACTTCTAATGCATAGAATGTTCATTAGATTTTGTTTATTAGAAAACTATTAACACAAGAAAACAGAATCATAATCGGAGATCTCCAAGTAAACACAAAAATTATTTAATTTAAAATTCCTTTACAATAACTCTAAACCTAGTAACACTTCTGAGATTATCTGGGAACAAAAGCTATAATGGAAAGGACATATAGATATATTTCTATTCATTTTCTTATTCCAGAGAGCAATTAAGGATCAGAAAAGGTTACATTTTAATAAATAAATCATAGTAATTTAATTATTCAGAATAGTTTAACATGGTCATAAACCACTAGTACATAAGAATATGAAATAATAAATATATGAATATGGTCTTTGGTTATCCTGCCTCGTTCATTTAAAAATCATACTTATATTTTTATTTGGACGCACATAAACAAATTTATCAAACATATGTAAGTTTCAAATTTGAAATCTCCATCTCTAACTAGAGATCTTGAACAAAAAACTGACTTGGAGAAATAAGCTTTTACCATCACTACGGTTTGCCTAAAATGTATTGGGATGACAGGTAAAATTACTGTTTTGGCCTTACCCAAACTTAAATACAATTGAAGGTCAGCAAGACTACTCATTTTTACCATGCATAAAGAAGAATGCATATAAATAGTACCCTGGTGCTGGGTTTAGAGTACCATATACACTAGTTAAAAATTACCACATTCCCTTTCCTTAATCCTAAAGATGGATGTCCTGCCAACACCAGGACATTTCTTCACAAATCACTTACCTTATTTCATCTGCATGAATCCAATTTAGAACATTTACTCTAGACAGAAACCAAAGTAAAACTTAATAATTCTGACTCAGTTACTGGGAAACATAAAGTGTAGATATAATGTGCCTTTTAAATACACAGACCTCTACCAAGTATTGTTAAAGAAATGATTAAAACTTAGTTGTATAGCTATTGTTACTGTGATGCCAAATTGATTAGGGACTCTAATTTTAGGGTAACATGTTTATTTGCTTTAACAATCCGAAGTGTATGTTCTTGGATAAGCTATACTTTAAATTTCCCTAGTGCTTTTATTAAATCCTGACAATTGTCCATATAGTTATTGTCCTTTTATCACATAAATATAAATATTTGTGTGTAAATGAGTATCACAATAAAATATTATAGTACTGCAAAATGACTAATGTGGACTACCAATTCCTTATATCTGTCATATCAATTACTCATTGACCATGTGTATGGATTTTTTTCCATAAGTAACATTGATTTTAATATTGATCTGATCATGCTATTTTAACAGCACTATTTGCCACTTTCCATCTTAAATAATTTTTATATATTAACTGGATTTCATGAAGCCTGAGGTCCCTTTGTTATCATTTTATATTTACTCACATGCATATACAATGTTTTGGCTACCCCTCAACACACACTTCCCAGCAGACCCTGTTCTGCCCTTTAGTTCTCTGATTTTGTTGAAGAGAAAACATCAGAGATAAAAAGAAAGACATAGGATTCTTGCTACTTTGAGATAAAGATATTTATACAGAGATTCCTAGTGTTGCTTCCATGCACATGTGTATTACAACCTGGTTCACCTCTACCAGACCTCTTCACTACTTCCTACTCCCTTTCCCATAGAAGCCTCGGTCAGTTTAAGATTACCATATTCACTTCTCTACAGTGGGCACATCAACTACATTCAAGTTTTAGGTTTCCTTTCCTTTCCTTAAATCTCCCGTGCATGTTCTCCCCTTAGTGCATGACACGTGGCCAATAATATTACTGCATTTGTTTTGGGATTATAATCTGCATATGAGGGAAAGCATGTGATTTTTGGCTTTCTGAGCCTGGCTAAATTCACTTAAAATGATGTTCTCCAGTTCCATCCATTTACTTCAAATGACAAAATTTCTTTCTTCTTTGTGGTTGAATAAAATTCCATTGTGTATAAATATCACATTTTCTTGATCCATTAGTTGTGGGGCAATATGGCTGTTTCCATAACTTGGCTACTGTGAATAGCACTGCAATAAACATGGGTGTGAAGGTGTTTTTGTAATCACTTGAGTCACATTCCTTTGGATAAATCCCTAGAAGTGGTATTGCTGGATCATATGGCAGATCTATGTTTATTTTTTAAGAAGCCCGTATATTGTTTTCTGAAGTGGTTGTACTATCTTACTTTCCCACCAGCAATGTATGAGGGTTCCTTTTTCTCAACATCCTCGCCAACACATGTTGGTGGTGTTTTTGATGATGGCTATTCTAACAGGAGTGAGGTGGAATTTAGTGTGGTTTTGATTTGCATTTCCTTTATGGCCAGGGATAGTGAGGACTTTTTTCATGTGTTTTTTGGCCATATGGACTTATTCCTTTGAAAAAGTTCTGTTTAGTTCACTTGCCTAGTTCTTTACTGGTTCACTGATTTTTGGTGAGTTTAATTTTTTTGAGCTCCCTATATATTCTGGTTATCAGTCATTTTATGTATACCTAACAAATATTTTCTCCCATTCTGTGGGTAGTCTCTTTAATTTAGAGACCATTTCTTTAGTTGTGCAAGAAGCTTTTTAATTTCATGCAGTCCCATTTGTCCATCCTTTCTCTTAGGTGCTGGGTTGCTGGGGTTCTGCTGAGGAAGTCCTTGTTTACACCTATTGCTTCCAGAGTATTCCCTACCCTTTCCTGTACTAAATGAAAGGTTTTGGGTCTGATATTTAGATCCTTAATCCACTTTGAGTTGATACTAGTACAGGGTGACAGGCATGGATCTAGTTTCAGTTTTCTGCAAGCAGATAACCACTTTTACTGGCAATATTTGTTGAAGAGGCTGTCTTTTCTCCATCACACGTGTTTGGCATCTTTGCCAAAAATAAGGTGGGTGTAGCTGTGTGGATTCATATCCAGGTCCTCTATTCTGCTCCACTAGTCTTCATATCTGTTTTTGTGCCAGTACCATGCTGTTTTTATTCCTATGGCTCTGTAATACAGTTTGAAGTTAGGTAATGTGATACCTTCATCATTGCTCTTTTTGCTCGGTATTGCCTTAGTTATTCATGGTCTTTTGAGTTTCGAAATGAACTTTAGGGTACATTTTTCAGTCTCTGAGATGACTGTCATTAGGATTTTGATGGGAATTGCATTGAACATGTAGATTCCTTTTGATAGTGTCGTCATTTTTACTAAATTGACTCTGTCAATCCATGAGCATGGGAAGTCTTTCCACCTTATGTAGTCTTCTTTGATCTCTTTCTTCAGTGGTTTGTAGTACTCCTTGTAGAGGTCATTTAAATCCTCTGTTAAGTTTATTCCTAGATATTTGATTTTTTTTGAGACTATTGTAAATAGAATTGTTTTCCGATATTCATTCTCAATTTATTCTTTGTAGGTGTATAGAAAGGCTACTGATTTTTGTAAGTTGATTTTGTATCCTGCTACATTGCTGAAGTTGTTTATGGTATCTAGGAGTTTTTTTGGGTCTTTGAGGTATAACATCATGTCATCTGCAAATAGAGATATTTTGACTATTTCTTTACCTATTAGTATTCCTTTTATTTCTTTTTCTTCTTGTCTTATTGCTTTAGCCAGGAATTCCAGGACTGTGTTGAATAGAAGTGGGGAACAAGTGGCACCCTCTTGTTCCTGAGTTTAGGGAGAATGTTTTCAGTTTTTCCCCCATTAACTTTGATGTTGGCTATAGGTTTGTCATATACAGCCTTCATAATGTTGAAGTAAATTCCTTCTCTTCCTAGTTTTCTTAGAGCTTTTATCATGAAGTGGTATTGAATGTAATCAAAGGCTTCTTCTGTATCTATTGAGATGATCAAGGGTTCTTGTCTTCATTTCCATTAATGTGCTGTATTACACTTATTGATTGACATATGCTGAACCATCCCTGCTTCCCTGGAAAGAAGCTGACTTGGTCATGGTGAATTATCCTTCTGATATGTTGTTGGTTTTGGTTTGCCATTATTTTATTGAGAATTTTTGCATTGGTGTTCATTTAGGAGATTGTCCTATAGTTCTCCTTTCTGGATGTGTCCTTGTCTGGTTTTGGGAGGAGTGTAATACTGGCTTCATAGAATGAGTTGGGCAGTGTTCCTTCTCTTTCTGTTCCTTGGAAAAGTTTAAGGAGTATTGGTATTAGTTCTTCTTTAAAGGTCTGGTTGAATTCAGAAGAGAATCTGTAAGTCCTGAGCTTTTGTTTTTGGGGATATTCTTTCTTGTTATTTCAATATCATTATGTATTATGGATGGATCTGTTTAGGTGATTAATATCCTCTTGGTTCAGTTACAGATGGTCATAAATATCTAGAAAATTCTCCATTACTTCAAAATTTTCCAAAGCAGTCTTTGATGATTCCCTGGATTTCCTTGGTGTTTGTTATTATCTCCCCTTTTTTGTTTCTGATTTTACTAATTTGTGTCTTTTCCCTCCTCATTTTAGTCAGATTTGCCAGTGGCTTATCGATCTTATTTATTTTTTCAAAGAATCAACTTTTTTTTTTCATTGATTATATGGTGTTTTTGGTCTCTATTTCATTAATTTGGGCCCTTATTTTATTATTTCTCTCCTGCTTGCTTTGGGTTGTGTTTGGGTTGTTTGCTTGTTCTTATTTTTCTAGGAGTTTGATATAGCATTAGGTCATTTATTTGAGATCTTTGTCTTTTAATATATGCACTCATGGCTATAAACTTTCCTCTCAGGACTGCCTTTGCTGTGTCCCATAGGTTCTTTTAGGTGATGTTTTCACATTCATTAACTTCCAGGAACCTTTTGATTTCCTCTCTTGTTATTCTATGACCAACTGATTCTTGAGCAATATTTTATTCAGCCACCAATTATTTGTGTGTTTTCTGCTGTTGTTTTTGAGTTCTAGTTTTAATGTCTCATGCACAGGTAGAATGTTGGGGGTTATTTCTATTTTCTTATATATGCTGAGGCTTGCTTTGTTCCTTAAAATATGTTCTATTTTGGAGGAATTTCCATGGGCTAATGAGAAGAATGTATATTGTGCTTTTGTTGGATGAAATATTCTGTATACCTCAGTTTAGTTTATGTATCTCTCTTTTATAGTATTCTTTCTTTCACTTTGGTGTTTGTTGAAGTCCTCTCTGAGTTCATTTATTTGTTTTTCTGTTTTCTCATGTTCTTTATTTTTGATTTCTTGAAATTTCTTGAGTGCATCTTGTACATTCTGGTTAACCATGTCTAGTATCTTCTCCATGAATTTCTCAGTGATTTCTTGCAAAGTTTCTTCTTTGAGGGTTTTTTTTGTGGGTGTCACTGGGTTCCTTAGTGACATTTATCATTGTTTTGTTGGGTCAGGAACTGGGTATCCATTTTCTTTATTTCCCACTGAATCCTGTATTGAATTATTTTTCTGAGAAGAGTGGTTTCCATCTCTTCTTTTTCATCCTTTCACTGTACTTGGTGCTGTACAACTATGTTCTTGATAAGCTAGTTGGTTGTTTTAATTGCCTGTTTTCTTTCCCTTGATTTAATTTTTGTGTTGTAACTGATTTGGCTATAACCTAGGTTGATGTGCTCTTTCTGTCCCTGGCCTGGAGGTATAATTTACCAATAACAAAAATCCATAAGTTCAATGCCAGACCAGTTATTTACATATTATATAGAAAACTCCTTGATGATAACATCTATAAACATTTGGTGAGGGTTAATGGTTATTAGGTTAGATATAGAAATTTGGAGAATTGGTAATGTGGCCCTAAAAGGGTGGGGTGGGAAAAGGTGTGGGTGAGTAGGTGAAGAGGTAGGGGGGCTGCTGGGTTTTGTATCCCTTGTGTGTGTTTATGTGTATATCTGTTGTAGTAGAGGGTGCTTTTGTCAGGGATTGAGGGACTGGCTGTGTCCAGGTGGTACAATAAGATAGTCAGTGGTGACTGTAGGAGGGAGGGTATTGTGGTTACAGGTTGTGGGAGAATAGGAAGGTAAGGTGAAGACAATGAGAGAGAGTGGATGGGTAGGGGGAGAAAGAGTAGTTGGGAGGGAGAACCATGGATTGTAGCACAGGAGGAGGAGTGAAATTAAATGGGGTAAGAACAGGTATAAGAAAATAGTAATGGTGAAGCTAATAATACAGAAAAAAAACCCACAAATAACAACAACAAAACAAAAAATACAATAAAAAACACCAGGTTCAAGAACAGCAAAAAGTTCAGTCTTTTGGTAAAAGTTCTGCAGTTATTCCTTAGGCATCCAATTCTGGTATTGGTGTACAAGCAGAAGTTCTGATGTGGTCTTACCAGGTGACTGGCTTGTAAGTAGTATTGGGACCTTCTGTTTACAAGGTTAGTTGCAATTTTGAGTTGAGATAAGTCTGCCAGTTCATGCAGGGTGGTCAGAGCTGCTGTTGTTTTCACCAGGCATAAGCTGCATTGCCTTCAGCTGCAGGTCTGTTTGGTCAGCTCCTCCCCCAGCAAGGTGGGGCAATTCAGGTTTGAATGATGTACTCTGTCCCAGAAGATCAGTTCTGGGACCTACCACCTGTCTTGCTTTGGGAGGTTGACCTGTAGTCCCACTCCTGCTCTCAGCCTTTGGTTGGCTTGTTGCTCTGTGCCTGCTCTCAGCCTCTGCTGCTATACCTGTGTTTGTTCGCTAAGAGTTCAGCACTGAAAGTTCAGCTCCTTGCTTCACCCCTGTTCTCCAGGTAGGTTCAGCATTCCAATCCCACTTCTGCTGTTGGTGTTAGATTACAGCTCCCTGTTTATACTTTTCAGTTTTGTTGGGGGGGTTTCAGTCTGCCCAGGGGCTGTGCGGGGCAGCCCAGGGGGCTGGGTAGTGGAGTTGCAGATGCTGGGTGATGCACACCTGTTCATTCTGCAGATTCTTGCAAGTAGCTTTGGAGCCTACCAGTGGGTAGAAATATGGGTGCTTTTCTCAGTGTGGTGTGGCATGGAGGCTTTCCATGGAAATCCAAGATGTCACAGTTTGGTTCTGATTGATTGACAGTTTGACTCTGTCTTCTGCTTGTTGGGAGAAAAAAAAGAGAGAGAAACGTCTGGGGGGCTTTTTTTTTCAAGGTTGGACATTCCTTGGTGGCTGTGCTGCATGGGACTTTTGTGACTGTTAGGTGGAACTAAAGGCTGATTTAATGGTCAGTCTTCAAATGAATTTTATTGGCACCTAATGTGATGGTGGTTATTGTTTTGGCTAGAAGCAATCAGAATTACCCAAGTGTAGTTCTGAAGTCTTAAGGAAGTTTCTGAAGTCACAGAGTTTAGGATTTCTGATTCCCTACCCTAGCCACCATTTTGGATCTTCCTTCTGTGAGTGTTTTAAATGATATTAGCCTATAATACTTGTTTATTCACCCTCTTAGTATTGGAACTGTCTTGGATATTATGGTTCACACACACAATTATCAAAATTCATGGGAAATGGCCTATACCTTTACAACTAGACATTCTGTTTTTTCTGCTTGCTTTTGACCACACTATGTTAAGGATATATTTCTTCCCCACCTTCCCCTTTACAACACTTACAATTCTATGCAATTAGCAAAGTTCATGCAAGAATTAAACCTTTCCTGAACATACCCATTGCCTTGGGCCTGTATAACATATAACATCTGACTTGCACTTATAGTCAATAAAAACAAGAACTAATTTCTGTCTATATATTTGCTTCTAGTTATAAAGAGAATGCCATGAGATTATCAAGAATTCACCATGATCAACCTGTAAAACCCCTGGATCGAGCTGTCTTCTGGATTGAGTTTGTTATGCGACACAAAGGGGCCAAGCACCTTCGGGTTGCAGCCCATGATCTCAACTGGATCCAGTATCATTCTTTGGATGTTATAGGGTTCCTGCTGGCCTGTTTGGCAACTGCTATATTCTTTGTCACAAAATGTTGTTTGTTTTCTTGCAAAAAGTTTAGTAAGACAGGAAAGAAGAAAAAAAGGGAATAGATGAAAAAAAAGAAGGAAGAGATCTTTCCTAAGTTTGGCAAAGTTCTGAATAGGGCAATATTATTAATTGTAGTTACAAAAAATTAGCTTACTGATAACCCATCTTTATCATGCTTTCATACACCTTAGCCTAGAGATAAAGTCTAGAATTCAATACAGTCATTAACTAGTGAGTGTGTCCCATTCTTCCTTTTTCACTTTCCAGGTGTCCTTACCATTTTTTTCTCAGTTCACGACATAAATGCATTACTAATTCTAAATATGTTCTATTCAAAATAGCACTTAAAATTGACATAATTGATATTCTGACTAACAATGTCCTGAATACTTAGGAAGTCACAAAGTGTAAATGGAATTTAATAGCTGTAGGGAATCCATTAGTCAAATTCACAAACCTCCCATAAGTCTTTCAAACCAAGAACTATCATAGGGAAATAACCTATTTTAAAATAATCATTGATTTCTTAACTTAAAATAAATACTCTGCGTCCCTAATATTACAGGAATTAGAACATGAATTCATAAAAGTGATGGTGTATCATCATAGGAAATTTCTATAAAATTGAGCACATTCAGATAATCAAGGTCTACCTTCCTGCTTTCCTCAACAAATATTCTTGAATGCCCTCTAGTGGAAGATTTTAGGGACTGTCTAAAAAAATCATAATATATTAAAGAATATATTAATATATTAAGAATCATAACATATTAAAGGTGAAAATATCATTTTTAGAATGATAATAAATATAGAAAAAGATAGTAATCTTATGAAAAATTAATTGAAATTACTATTGATAACCTTATGTCAATTCATTATATTTAAAAATCACTAATGCTCATAATTTATAATTACTATTTAAAGTTTAATTTTCTGCCAAAAATAAATATTTACTTAGAACTTGAGATCATTGTATTATTTTTCAGTCTCTATCATCTATAAATTTAAATTGATCAGTTAATTGTACAAGCCTACTAGCTTGACCAAGAATATGGTAAGGGGCTTGGTATGTAGCTCAGGGGCAGAGCACTTCCTAGCATGTGTGAGATCCTGGGTTTGATCCCTAGCACTAGAAAAATAATATGATAAGAACTGATAAGTATGAGTATTTATCCATGTAAAATCATAATTAAGTGAAATAGTCATACTTGAATTAGCTTTGCACCAATTAAAAGTATCCTACTAAAGATTGCAATTTCTTTAACTTGTAAACTTAATAGTACTCTAAATGAAATTTTCATTTCAGTGTGTGATATATACCTGAGGAGATAAATGACATCCATTGACAAAGTGAAGTTTTTTGGAAAATTGTTGAGACAAGGTATTTCTTTATAGTGTGGCTGGCATCAAACTCATGGTCTTCCTGTCTCAGCCTCTTGAGTGCTTGAATAACTGGTGAACACCATCATGTTTTTGAAATTCTTACTCATATTTAGAGATATTTTTAAAATTTTCAAGTAAACTGATTCAATAATAGAAATAGGACTATGATTCTTATATTTCAGCTGTGCATTATTCACCTAATCAACATTTCCATCACTTACAATTTCCATACCAAACAGCAGCACTTTCTACTCAATACTTTATGAGGATCTTAGTTTCTACTCATTTCTTCATATGTGCATTTGCTTGTCTATATGGTTCATTTTTTGAACTTTCAAGTGGGTCTCTGCAGAGGTTCAAAATTATGCTCCCTGTGTGCACATTAGCCTTCTTTCTCCACAATTCTTCCTGCATCAAGAAACAAGAGTGATATTTTAACCCTTTCATCACACTTGTCACTATTCAGTTCCCAATCCTCTGTCACAAAGTCTACCCCAGCATCATGTCCCATGAAGAGTCTTGTGCATAATGAAACTCTAAGTATTCTGGCCCATATAACAAACTACTCTTGCTTATGTTGTACTATGCTCCTGATATGTGGACTGATTCCTGTCCCATCAGTCAGAAAACAGCTCAGGCTCTATTCATATCAAGCATCCTTTCCCTGGAATCTCTTTTCTATCTCTTGTCTAATACATCAGCTTGAATGTCATCATAGTAGTCCTTTCCAAAGCCCTATAATTTCTCTCTAAAACTTAACTACTCTGTTTATATTATTTGTTTTTGATATGCATCAAGCAATAAAATATAAATAGTAGAAAGGAGCTACCTCATCCATATCCACTGTACCTAATGCATAACTCTTTGGGCACATGGAAGGTATCTGACAACTACTAACAAGTAGTGAAAAAACAAAGAACATGATTATTTACTAGATAGACAGGACTCTTCTCTATCTAACAGAAAGGGGGAACAGAGAGAAACAAAGATTATAAGTAGAAAATAAAAAGCCTCAAGGTGATGGTGAATCAGAAGTCAATGAAAGCATTTTAGTAGATGAAGTAGAACAATATTGATCATGGGAACAGAATGACTGAAAAGTTTTTTAACTGATAGAAAGATTTTTCTTGCTGATCCTACCATGAATTTGATAAAATGATGAAGCATAAAATGAACTACAAGATGGAAGTTAGGGAAATAAGATACCTATGTTGACACTGCTAATAAAATTTAGTTGTGAATGGGAATAAAGATATAATAACTGTGAAGATAATTCAAGATATATACTACCAATTTTTATATATACATATGTATATATACATATACATTCAATTATGTGTAATTGTTTATGTACAATTGTATATATACAATTATATATATGTGTACAGTTAAATGCTTGGTATCATTTTAAAGTCTCTAAGTGTATTAGCTCCACTAATTCTTACAACATTATAGGAGGGGGGATATCATTTCAGAAATGATTTACACATTAGGAAACTATGACACAAATAAATTAAACAATTTTTCATAATGCTAAATTCCTGGGAGTGCTCATGGGAGGATTTACCATAAGAAGATATAACAAGTCATAGAAATTAATATTATATTACATGTCACTAAGCTATAAATATGTAGCATGTTAATGGGAAAAATACATAGTGAGGACAAGTTGAAAGCACAGAAAAGTAAGAGGAAAATCAATAGATAAGGCAAGGATCCCTGGAAATTTCACCTTAACAAAAGTAACTGTTATGATAAAAATTCATTCAGTATAAAAGAAAAGGCAGAGGAAAATGTGGTTATAGTTGTAGGTATGTTTATAGCACCTGGGTTGGGAAGTAAACAGTCTGGATCTTTGCAAAGACAATATAGATCACAGATTTTTCTCAGTTTTCTTTCATGATCCATGCAGACTCAAGTATTTTAAACTCAAGTTATGCAATGTGGATAATCCTACATATACTCAAAACACTTTATTAATATTATCTGCTATTAACTTTCATATGACAGAACATCTAAAATCTCTTTGGCTTTGTGACTTCTGTGTCTCTTCCCTATCCTCTACAGTGTCCCTCTTTCCTGTTTTATCATGGGGTCTTCCATGAATTGTAAATCATTCCATATTAAGTATTCTCTACCTGAGTCACATTCTTCTTTCTCCAAATTTACCTTTCTCACATGATGATATGAAATATTTGTTTCTGTAGAAGTCACCACTCATAGTAAATGAGGAAGAACACTTTTAAACAGTAGAATTATTTTGAGGATATACTTATATGGATTGTAATAAAGACAAGTCCTTTATAAATAATTTTGCCCTTTTTCTATTGATTTGTTAAAATATCAGTGATATTCCATACCTTCTTCAATGATAATACACATGTTGAAAATGAAGGGGTGAAAAAGTTTATTCTATGGAAATATTGATCACATAAGAGAGCAAAGAATTCTCTATTTGCATCAGAGAAAATATACTTTAAATAAGAATCACTCTCAAAAGACAAAGGAGGGCATTATAAAATGATAAGCCAATGAAACTAAAAACACAGCATATTAAAATTAATGGAAAGAATAAAAAGTAGTTCAAAGAAGGATGTTTATAGTGATAAATGACTACTTTAAGAAGAAAACTACTCAAATAAACCTTTATACTGAAAAGAACTGCAAAGTTAGATCGAAGTCAGCAAAAGGAAGAGAATAATAAAGCAAAAATAGGCCAGCATAATAAGAAAAATCAACAAAACTATGAGTTGTAGTTTGAAAATATTGATACAATTTAAAAACATGCTAAAGACAAGAGTAGCAAAAGAAAACAGGAGTGGTGGCTAATGCCTACAATCTCAGCTATGTAAAGGGAGAGATTGGGAGGATTGTGGTTTGAGGCCAGTCAGGGCAAAAGTTAGTGAGATCCCATCTGTAATCCCACATACACAGAATGCATAAATAGGAAGGTGACATTCAAATCTAGCCCTGCGCAAAAGCCAGACTCTATCTGAATAATCGCCTAAAGAAAAAAATGGCTGGAATTATGGCTCAAGTAGTAATGTTTTCCTAATATACACAATGCTCTGGTCCAGACCTCAGTACAACAAAGAAAGAAACAAGAAGAAACTCAAGTCAGTAAAATCAGAAACAAAAGAGGAGAAATTGCAACAGATGTTGCAAGAATAGTCAATGATCAAAAGAGATTACTATATGCAATCACAAGCCAATAAACTGGATAACCTCAAAAAAATAGTTACATTTCTAGAAACATGCAAACTACTAAAACTAATTCAGTCAGGCAGCTATGCATAGTGATGCACACCTTTAATCCCAACACGCATGAGGCAGAGGCAAGAGGATAGTGAGTTATAAGCCAACCGTGGATATAGAGAGTCTCTGTCTCAGAAACAAAACAAATCAATAAAAGATTGAAGAAATAAAACATGTGACTGACAAAAAGTAACTATAAATATATTAAACCAGTAATCCAAACCTTCCCAAGAAGAAAAGCCAAGGACCTTCACTGGTGAATTCTACCAAACTTTAAAAACATAATTAATACACATACTACTCAAACTCTTCCAAAAAGTTAAAGATGAGGGAGTATTATCAAACTAATTTTAAAAGGTCAGCATTACCCAGATACCAAATAAAGATAAGAAAGAGAATTATAGCCAAATACTCCTGATGAACATAGATAAAATATTTTAATAAAATTCATCATCAGAATAAGGAATTGGAATTATGTACCACGTCCAAGTAGGATTTAAACCTG